TGAACCACACACTTAAAGGCAGTCCAGGCTTCTCGCTCCACAGCATTCATTGAATGAAGAAAATCTTCATCTAGCATTACTTTCCGAATATTGGGACCAGTGAACACGCCCTCTTTCAACTTAGCATCTGACAGGTTGGGGAACTTGTAACATAGATATTTGAAACAGTTGCCACACTTATTTAATGCTTTGACAAACTGCTTCATTATGCCCAATTTGATGTGCAGAGGTAATAAGAGTATTCTGTCTCTTACCACTAGAGGGTCACACTTAATATTTTTGTCCCCTGAAACCAATTCCAACCTTCAAGGCCACTGTTTTTGCTCTTAACGTTTGTCACGAGCTCGACTGTCCTATTCACGGATGAAACGGGGGAACTCGGTATATCCTAATTGTTCTCCTGGAACAGCGTTTCTCAACGGGGGCGATATCGCCCCCATGTGGGAGTTTTTCCATGTTGAGGGGGCGATTAGTAATAATTTATATTTTGGGGCGAAAAACAATTTTCTGAGCGATATAGTAAAACATTATATTAAAAATAATTAGATATTTTATTCGTTATATCGTACAATAATTAAACAAATATAGGCAGGCCTCCTACAACGCGGTAGATACGTTCCTTGAAAATACCGCGTTGTGGGAAATCGCGTTATAGGAGACACCAACTCAATACAAAAACTGGGATTCGGTTCTAAAAAGAGAAAAACTTGGCGTTTGAATGACGTTTTTTGAATTTTTCAAACCAGCCATTGGTAGCCACGAATTTAACACAAGTTTCATCAGCTGACCAGTGGCGAAGCGTAGTGGGGGCGACACTTTTAAGGGGCTGCAAAATTTCACAATGAACAATAATAATATCTTGTAAAATTTTGAACCATTTCATTTCATATTTTTGTCGCACCTACGATTCGGACCGATTGAAATGCGCACGAAATTGTTCATTATTTATTCTGTGACGAAACTGAATTTTAGTCTTTTAAATTGAGATACCTAAATAAGGGGGCAGCGAAATTTTCCTCCGCCCCGGGCGGCTGACACCCACGCTACGCCACTGCAGCTGAC